AGTTTTTAATTAGAAGTGATTAAGATAGCACCAATATCCTTGTATCTAACTTGTGGAGTACTTGCTTGAAAGAGTAACACAATAGTAATTTAACTGAAGTGATAAGAAAAGTTAAGAACACAAGGATAACCTGTAGAAAAAAATTAGCCTAACTAGAATTAGAATCACCTTTAGCCCCAAGCTATTTGGCCTATTATAGAAAATTCTATAATAATAGAATAAGTAAATAAAAAAAATTAGGTGATAAATAACACTGCTCTTATATGATATATTAATATTATATTGTTTTTTTATTAAGAGAACTTAGATTAGTATAACTTTTATAGTTAATTATATAGATAAAAATTGATTTGAAGAAGTAATTCAATAATATAAAAACTCTGTTTATAAAAAATATCAAAATCTTAGATAGTCTGAATAAAAAATATAAAGATAAGGACCTAAGTATAAAGTCAAAATAAAAATCATCTAATTAGAATGAAGTTTGATTAAAAGCTTTGTATTGTAAAATCTTATAAGTAAGAATATCTAGTTAATTAAAAAAAAGTCTAATTAAGTTTTATAAAGATATTTAGAAATAGTGTAAGCTAAAATATTAAATAATAAAGAAGGGTAGAAGCAAATATACTAATATAAAAAAAGTTAGAAAGATTATAGTAAAAATAGGAAGAACTATTAAAAATATTTGGGTATTTATTATAAGAATTAATATATTTGTAACAATGGTTACTGTAACCATATCCTATAAAAGCTAATTAAATTTAAAGATCAGATGTAATATAACACAATTAGGAAAATTTAAAACAATATTTATTTCATTAAAAATTGTCAAAAAACAAAATTGAGTATATAAAACTACTCTTTAGGTTCTAACAAAAACAATTCTCTGCTAAATTTTACTATAAAATACACCTTTTTAATCGCATACTATCTTTACTTTATCCTAACTCTAATTAACAAAGAAAAGAGTTATTTTAGTTGCAGCTAGGGTTATTTTAATTATTACAGATCGAAAATATGAATATTGGATACCTGATATTTACTAATTGCTAACTATTTGTGCCAAAAACTAATCTATATTGGCAATATATAAAAATTATATTAGAAGTATATTAAGTTAAAAATAAATATCAGATAAATATCAGAATACCCAATATGCTTCTGATATTTTTTTATATATTGCCAATATAAATCAGATTTTGGTGTCAATAGTTAGCAATTGGTAAATATCAGATACCTAATATTCATGTCTTTGATCTGTGTATGGCTACAGAAATGCTATAGCTACAAATACTATATATTAATCCTTATTATAATATATAGAAGTGTGTAGATAATTTGTTAAATAAAAATTTAATTTTAAAAGATTTAAGTAAATTTAATTGATGATTTTCTAGTGAATTATAGTAACACAATATGATTTTATATGTAAATCTTATAAATAGAAATGTGATAATTTTTAAAGAAATATACCATTTATCCAAGAAAAACTTTTCTTACTAAGTAAATTATCTTTAAGCTTTTAACTAAAGTTGTAGAGTTTATCAAGATGCATTTAATAGTAATAAAAATATTAAAATTGGCTTGATAGTTCTTAAGAAATTTTTAAAAAACATTTTGATAATATATAAAATTTCTTTAAAAAAAATTGATTTTTTTAAAAAGATTTTATATACTATAATTGGTAAAATGTTTTTTAATGATTCTTAAGAACCACAAACCAATTTTAATGTTTTACTACTATTAGATGCATCTTGATAAGCTCTACAACTTTATTAAAAGCCCAAAAGTGATTTACTTAATATGAAAAAAGTTTTTTTTTGGATAAATACTACATTTCTATTTTAAAAGATTTATATATAGAACTGCATTGTGTTATATTATAATAATTCTTCAGTTCACTGAAGAATTATTAATTAATCTAAAGCTAGTAAAATTGTGAATAGGTTGCTGGTTGTAATTAAAGTAGAGCCAAATAAATCTTTGATTGATTTGTGATAAGATGAATTCCTATTCAGAATTGTGTTTTTGAGAAGACCACATAACCAGAATATGTATTTTGCAAATATTCTTGATAAATTGTCTAGTGGATAGTTTAATAAAGTGTTGTTTTTATGTTCTTATTGAAGAATATAATAAGGGTTGTATATATTAGTATAATTAAAGAATAGGATATTATGTTAAGTGTTGTTTGGCTAAAGAATCAGCAAGATTGTTAAAAAAGTTATTGGTATGGGCTTGTATTATGTAGAGTAAATAAATTTGCTATAGAGAAATATATTTTATGCTATAAAAAGTTTTACAATAATTTCTACAAGAGTAATTAGTTCTTTTTAAATGCAGATTCTTTAGATACGAGTCTTAATAAAATTCTCTTTATTTTGCAATTCACGTTGGGCATCAAAGTATTATAAAACACATAAACTTCGTTTCTTTAAGTGCAATTGTTTTTTCTGTGTCCCAGCAAGACGCACTTGAAGAATTTGATACAAAAATTAAATCAAATTGTCTTAAGTTTAATGTAGTAAGAGTAAAAATTTAGGAATTTAGGAATAGAACAAATTACTTTGTAAGTTCGTTATGGGAACGAATTCGTCGAAGATGGTTTAATTAGATTTCTTCGTTTTAGATAACGTCTCAAACAATTGTCATTCATAGGTCGTATAATTTTAATGCACCCGAAAATTATTTGTTTACCTGTCAGTTTGGGCGGCAACTATACATAATTATACATATTCATTAATGATAGTATTGTTAATTTTAGTATGTATTAGCAATGTTCTAAGTACATATACAGTATTTGACAATAAACAATAAAGAAGATTAAAACAATGAATGTATTTAGAGGGAACTTTGTACTTAGGTATGTATGCATTGGGACAAAAAAAATTATTTTAAAAAAACCAGCATTTGAAGAGAATTTATACAACGCCTGCACTTAGATTATTAATAATAATACAAACATCAAAGGGGTTAGTCTTCGTGTTTTTGTATTTAGAGATTTGCGTTTCTCAAGAATACTGGCTTGAAGGTGTATCACGTACCATGTACAACCACGGATTGATGATATATAATGCGGTTAATGTCCCTCGCAATTTTTATTGTATCTTCTTTTTTGTACAAATGGAGTCCTGGCTCAAATATATATTAATTGTGCTATTACTCCCATATTTTTTGTTAAGTAATTTAATCTATGCCAATACAGAAAAAGAAGTTTTTATTTCCACGACTGAAATCATTCCCGAATCCCTTTTCCATGAAGTTGACGACTGGAGTGTGCAAGAAGGGCTTGTGGTAGGCTTATCTAATTATTAAATTTATTTTTTTGACTGAATTCTAAAAGAATCATAACCAATAAAATACGTAATATTGCTCTATAAAGACTTTAAAGCCACCATATACAATCCAGCGCTACGAACGCGTCATACCTTATAAAAACTCTGAAGAATTCAAAAGTACGGAGCGTAGTGACAAAGAAAATTGGTATATTCTTGACGAATTAGAAGAAGAGAAGACTTATGAGACGAGAGTGTCTTATGCTTCAACAGTGCGTGTTTATTATTTTGTATTTGGCCAGTCAATTAAAAAATTAAATTAAAAAACCCAATTTACTACAATTTGCAATAAGTCGCCTACAATCTTCGTGTTAAACATAATGGATTTTAAAGAAGTAATGAAAATCATACGAAAAAATAACGCGACAGATTATGAAAAGGTAATTGAAATTGAAGCATCTGTTTTTCATAACATTCCTATATGTTTACACTTATGATTTATACAAGACTTCTCATCCGAAGTTGAGTACTACAAAAAAATTTCTCCGTGTGAGAGCAATTTATGATGGTGTGTCCATCCACCATGGCAGAGGTTCTAGACCTGTAATTTACAACGTTGGTAAGACAATTTTCAACTTTTTTTTCACTTTGCTAATCAATAAGAATTTACTAATTCATATCGTTCGGATAGTATTGGAAACGCTTGTACACGGAGTTCCACGAGTGGCGTTCAATTTAATATTTGTTTTGGCCATCATTATAGGAATTGCCAATTTTATATTTGTGCCAAAGATATATAAAGCTTTGCGGAATATTACAGAAGACAAAGATAAAAAAGAATAGACTATAAATAGATTACATAATTTTATTCTATAATCTCTGAGAGATTTAAGGAATGTAAATCATAATTATAATTGAGCTTTTAATCATTGAAATAAAAATGTGTCAAATTGGAATTGCGCGATATAGTTGTATTTTAGGATTCATTTAGTGATTTACTCTTTCAAGTCGGCATTGCATTAATTGACTTAGTTGGTTTAGCCGGATAAATTATTCAATTCTTTTAAAAATTCTGTTTAGTCAACTATGTAAATGTACAATGTAATTATAGATCGCGTCCTGCAATACGCCTTATGTATCGTTGACCAATAAAGATTCATGCGCGTAGGCAAATTTTTCATGTTGGGTCTTTTCGCCATTGATACTATTACTTTTTTATTCTGTAGATCTTCGGGTAGCAGGTGAGAGGAAAACTTATTGGCGGTGGAAGAACTGTGTTCAATGCTTTTGAAACGTGTTTGGGCTTGAATGAGCAAGTTTTTTTATCAGTTATACCGTATCACCGCATTCTGGATCAGTTTCACTTGAGAATGTTATGTAACAACTTTGGAAACGTTACGCAATAGCTTCTTTTTTTTACATCGAAAACCATACAATGATGTTATATCCTTTTTTTTTTTTATTTATATAAAACACGTTTCTTTTTTTTACACAGAGAACATTACACAACGATGTTATACCTTTTTTTTTTTAATTTAGATAAAATAAATGACAAATGCGAACGTGACCAGCAGGAGTTTCCTTGATTGTTGGCAGAGCTTATAAGCTTTTAATCGACTACAATAACTACCAAATAGCTTTCTTGACTCCCGGAATATCTCCATTTAAAGCTTTCAACCTAAATTGATAACGACATAGCCTTGACTCTCGAAATACACCACGACCTCGACCTGTTTCCACGCAACGATTCTTGACGGCAGTTGGACGTGCATAGCGAGGAAAAGAATTAAGCATAAGTTGCGCTTGTTGTCGGATTTTTTGTGGAAATTGTTCGTTACGTGTAATGTAACGATAGGCTTGTCGAATCAATTCAGTAGCTGCAACAGTTTCTCGAGTTTTTATATCGCGCCGAACTCTTGCATTACGAAGGATACGGAAATTCATTTCGATCGTTTTATCGTTTTTAAAGAAACCCAATGCAATGCTGCATGCAAAATTATAATCTGTGCTCAGTTTATGGGCACGTGATGATGATCAATGAACTTATCAAGTTTCGTTAATAGACTGGACAGGTTTTTCCAACTTTAAGTGAAGTTGTCTCGATAACCACCTAACCAATTCGTTCTTTTTTTTTTCTTATTTAAATTCTACATACCTATTGTAAATTTAAAATAATAGGCGGACAGTTTTTTAAGCGAAGCTTCTCGACAACCACTTAACAAAATTCAATGAAAATTTTTTTATTCAAAAAATTTCATTGAATTTGATGGGTTGTTATCGATTAACTTCAAAGCTTAGGAAAAATCTGTTCCGTAAAAAAAAAAATTTTAATTTTTGGGCAAAGTTTTCTCGGACCAAATTCAGTAGAAATTTTTTTTTAAAAAAAATAGATTGTTATCAAGAAGCTTAGAAAAAACCCGTATTAGATCCTGAATTTGATCCTCCGAATAAGTTCATCCAATCAATTTAATTCTGTATTGTTAAATAACGATAATTCTCTAAATCCTGTATTATGTTTTCGTGTGACTTAAGGACCAAGGATCGTTAGGATCCCAAAGGACCGATTAACTTTGAACAAAGTTTTCTCGACAACCACCTGACAAAATTCAATGAAATTATTTTTATTTCAATTCTACGAATGAATAGAATTGAAATAAAAAAAATTTAGTTAGGTGGTTACTGAGAAAATTTCAAAAAAACATTAATAAAAAAAAAATTGATTATGATTGGTCGATCAATACGGAATTTTACAAAAAAAATCACTATATAGTATTTTTTTTAGGTTTTTATTATAAGAAGATAGCCAAAACCTATATCAGATATATATAATATATATGGGGGGGAGTCAGTAGAAATGGGACAAATCATTTTTAGTGAATTTTTTTTAATTTTTAAATTACAATTTC